TGTACATTCTTGCCCCTAGATGCCGGCAGATAGAGGCTAGGCTCAAGACCGCAGACTTGGGCTGAAAAGCGTGAAGAAAAAAAGGTAACACTAGGCGGCCTGGGCTTAAGTTCTGCTGTTCGCACAGCGCCTGCCGCGGCGCACTGGGCTGCGTGGGCTGATGCGTTGCCGGAGCTCCGCAAGCGCTCCCCTGCCTTCGCTGAAGCCTGCACGCGCATGCTCGCTACAGACGGTGGGCGAGCGCCGAGCCTCCAGAGCGCGATTGAGGCACGCGAACTCCTTCAGGCGGAGGGTTGGCACGAGTGCCCTTCTTGGGAAGCTTGGGTGACTGGCAACATGGATGGCAGTGCTGTGCATCGCGTATTTGAACCCTTCACCTTCACGAACGCACGCTGCTGCCTTCCCTGTCCCCGTCCGCTTGCGCCCTTCTCCGCTCGCAAGCTGGCCCACAGGCCGGCGCTTGGTTAACTGCAATACCCTGTGAGCCGGCCTGCGTGCTTCCGCCCCTTGCAAGCGATGCTGTTGGCCCTGCGCCGCCGCCTGCGCCTCCCGCTGCCTTTGTGTGCCAGCCGTTGCGGCCCCCCCGGGTGCGGAGGAGAAGCGGACGCACCGGTCTGATAGCTCGCAGGGCGAAGATCGTGGAACGTGTGTGGGTGCGCGTGGCCCGGGAAGCCGTCGGTCCGGATGGGCAGGTGGTCCCCCAGCAGTGGCTAGCGCGCACAACAGCACCCAACGTTCGCTCAGATGACCGGCGCCGCTTGGACCTCGTCGTTTATGGAGCGACACCTCTCGGGGGGGGCCTTTGCTGCGACGCCACACTTGTGTCGCTGCTGTCGCGCACAGGCCTGCCACAGCCTTGCTCTGCTGCACATGACCGGAGCCGCTTTGAGGGTCGCCGAGCGCCGAAAACGAGCCGCCTACCCGGAGCTGAACGGCGGCCCACAACAACTCGTCAGTGCGCGGCGCCGCTTCGTCGGCATGGGCCAGGCGTTGGTGGGCAATACTGGCAGTGTCGGTACAACAGAAGCACTGCTCTCGGGTCAGCTTGGCCGGCGCCTCCCCACGCGAGCCGACAGTCGGCCCAGAGTTGGAACGCGCGCTCGACCTTGCTGACACAGCAGGGCCGAGCCGCATGCCGTTACGCGGCCCCTAGACAAGTCGTGTGGTAGGACCCGGACGCTGCGCCGAAACGTGCAGCAGGAGACTCATGCCACGGAAAAAGGTCCGTGGAAAAAAAGAAAAAAAGGAAAAACAACTTGCGTGGTCTTTGAGACTCTGCGATCTTACGTGGGCGGCTCATTTGAGGCAGATCCAAAAGGAAGGATGGCGCGACTGCCCTACCTGGAGGTCTTGCCTGCAAGGCACGCGGCGCAGGCCCCGGGGACTGGCCACATGGCTGGCAGATGCACGCCTCGCGCAACCACTTTCGCGAACGCGTGCCGCCGCCGGACATGTCGCTCGGTTCTCACGCGCTTCTCCGCCCCACCCCAACCACCACAGTGACCTCTGGAGCGCGTGCTCGACCTGGCGGCACCGGCAGGCCCCAGTCGAATGCCACCACGCGGGCGGTGAATGATGCAGCGCAGGTGGTCAACCTGCCCTTCACCGGACAGTAACCTGCCAGGCGGAGAATGAGCGTGATAAAGAAATTAGCTAGTTTTTAGCTATTTCCTGAAATTGACGCAGAAAGATGCCCATTGAGTTCGCGGGGTAAGCGTCGCGGAGTCGCGGCACCTGACGTCGCTAATAACGCGACGGACCGAGACGCTGCCGCAGCAAAACTGTACCAGAGGAGATGCAAACAAACAGTTTCTCCTGGTGGTAACGTGGTGGCCGCCGAGCAAGCTCCACCAACGGTGCGACCAGGCGGCGGCTGCCTCGTCTCCCGCTTCGTGTACCTTGCGGGCATGCCGATCCAAGTTTGCAGGCAGCATCGGTCGGGAAGTTTGGGGTCCAGCCTGCCGTGAACGTGCCCTGGGCATGACCTTCGGCTTGGCGTTGGGCTACTACACTGGGACCGCTTTGGACGTCGGCAGGATCGAATGTTTGTGGGAATGAAGCGCCCTCTGGGTGACCACCGCGCTGCCAGCCCCCGTTCTGGCATCTTGCGCTCCCGTGGCTCCCGTTCGAGCGTGCTGCTGCCCGTGTTTGCCGCGAAGCCGGGGCTCTACTGGGTGTTCGTGTGCAGCAGGGTGCCCAAGGCCGCACTGAGTTGCTGCGCCGAGCAGTGGCCTTCGAGAGCGGACAGTGGACCCGACTCATCTAAGCGGCCAAGCCACCCAAGAGCCGCAGGCCACCGCACACAAGCGCAGCCAGGCACGCTAGATGTTGACCGCTTCGGAGCTTGTCCCCGGCACGGAGGTATTGGCCAGCCCTGACAGACCAGCACGTCGCCAACCGGCCGGACGACAGGTCACGCTTCCTCGCAACGCGTACGACTCCGAGGGCTGCGAGCCTGCGATGCCTGCGGCATCCTGGGACGGTTTGTGCATCGTCACAGCCCAGCACGGAGTCGTGGTCCCGGGCAACCCCGGCCACACCTGTGGGACTGTGGGCCACCCTGACTTCGTCCACGCGTGGGCCCACGGGTGCCTTCGCGAGGAGCGTCAGCAGCTTGAGAAGCTGCCTCACTTCCCCGACCTACAACGCAGCCGGCTGCTGCTGTTGTTCTGTGTCTTGCCCGCGCAAGTCGAGGACCATGGATACGCGCACATTCCGAAGTTGCTCCTTACGCGCTCGGCACGCCCAGGCCATTTAGGAGACACTCCAGGAATGCCGCAAGCAGATGCAGGTCAAGCCTGGTCGTTCGCCTCCCGCCTCCCCCCTGGCCGGCTTGGATGGATGCGCTCCCCGTCATCAGCGCTTAGTTCCCAAACGCCAGCGGCGAGCCGCACGACCTGATGGTGGCTGCAGTAGAGGCTGACTGCCCCTGTCAGGCCCAGTCCAGGCCCAATTGATTGCTTACATATGCCACATGGCTAAGGCATGTTGCTGCCTTGTTTGCAGGCGGATTCCCGGACACTTTCGTGCTCGCAGTGCAGCTCATGCCGGATGATGTTGCCCCCCTCCCCTGGTCCTGAACCGTTCAGCTGCTGGTAGCCGTTGCCAGCACAGCACTCGCGAGCATGGCCTGCTCCGCCCCACCCGAGCCCCTGGAGCGCGTAATTA